TCTCTTTCAATCGTAGAACAAAGATCTCTCATTTTCATATATTTGCCTCCTTGAACTTCTCTTTAGTTATAATTTCTAACTCCTCTTAAATATATCTTGATAGTATATGAAAGAGATACTCAAATCTGAGTGCAAATAGGAGATCAAACGGGTCGACAAACGGCTAAGATTAAAATATCAATTTTTCTAAAATACATCATCACAATCGATCGGCAAACCCAACCATCGATGGTACTATTCACCCATTGAGGCTTCACTGTAGACCGTCGATGGTTACTATCCATGTCTTAGCAAAATTATTAATTGGCTCCTGTTATTCATCACTATAGCCCATTGATGCACTCAACCTACCATTGATGATTAGATAAATCAGATCGAGAGCTTTCCATAAAGCTATTACATCATCAAATTTGATAACCGAGTTAAAAGTTATGGCTCATACAAATTTCAGCCTCGGTTTCCTATCTGCTGGTGATTGTTTCAACATTGTCTAACTAAAACATTCATCTCTCAACCTATATATCTCTCAACTGAGTTTTGTTTGTTCATGTGGATTCGCAACAACACGAGGGATACTCCCATGTGCTCAAAATAGAGTTTCACTCTTGATATTTTTCTAGAATCAACTGTGATTAACTTGTTATGTTGCTCTACACAGTTCCAAACTTGATTCTAATTTCTTGTAACTTGTAACTATCGATGGTTCCCTATGAACATCGATGGTGCACTGTAGACTATTAATGTTTCTTATTATGATTTTTTTTCTCCAATTAGCTCTTGTAACAATTAATGAGATGTTTGATCATCGATGGATACCTCTTGACCGTCGATGGTTCGAAGCTGAAATCAACGTTCGTATTGACTTTTGCATCATTTCAAGCCTCATCTTGCTCATACCTGCTTGTTGACGTTAGCTATCAAACTAGGAATAATTTGCAGGTTTTTGGAGTGATTAAGGTCCTCTAACTCCTTCTCATGTATGGCTTTGGGGTTTTCTATTCTTCCATGCACAAGAAAGAACTCGTGAAAGGCCGGAGTTAGGTTCTCTAGTTGTTCCTCCGACGATCAAGTCAGTAAATGATTAGTTGTGTTAACAAAGAGAGTTATCTCATGCAGTTCCTCTCCTTTTTATAGTGGATCTGAAGGGCAAGAAGGTAACTTGGGCTGAGTCTAGCTAGGCAGCTAAGTCGGCAGACATGTGCTGCGTGTCGGTTGTTGAGGGATTTATTATGGAAATGACAGCAGGTGCTTAGTGCTGACTAGGTCCGATAAGTCATAAAGGCTACGGGAACTAGGGAAATGATGGTTTTGTCAGAGCAGTTAATGCAAGGACAGGCGGCTATCAGCGCGGGGTTCGAGAAAACTACTGACTCTTTTAGTTGTCCCGCTGATGGTCGCCTATACCTGTTGACGGCTGATACAACAGGCCAAGTGGGAATTATTCGTAGGAGAAACTGGCCAGGTTGGACGATAAGTACTGCCTTTTTATTCGGATATGTGAGATGTCGGCTGAACAGTGAGCTAAGTTGGATGGCTTGTGGAGTCGATCGAATGGTTGGGCATGTAGTACTGCCTTTTGTCTCGGTTATGCGAGATGTCGGCTGAACAATGGGCCTAGTTGGGTGGAGATTATCTTCATCTTGAATTAGATGTACTAGGTATAGTGTAAGACATGTGGCAATTGCTCTGTAGAGATTAATATTTAGTATTTTTAGGGGTATAACAGTTGATACGCGAGATGTCGGCTGAATAGTAGGCCAAGTCGGGTGGCTTGTGGAGTCGATCGAAGGGTTGGTCAAGTAGTACCGCCTTTTGTCTCGGTTACACAAGATGTCGGCTGAACAGTGGGCCGAGTCGGATGGAGATTATCTTCGTCTTGAATTACATGTATTAGGTATAGTGTAAGACACGTGGCGATTGCTCAGTGGAGATTAATATTTAGTATTTTTTAGGGGTATGACACTGCTTATACCTAAAATATATCTTTTCACAAAATATATCAATAGCAAATGAGAGCTTATTATTAATCAAACAACATATATTATACGAACAACATTCTTGCACGAATAACGTTCTAACAGAATCATCAGAGTGAGACTTTAATCCATACACAATTTCAGGCCTCGAGCAACAAGGGTAGTAATTTAATTTACAAACACTTCTGCTATCTCAGTTGATTGGTTCATAATGCTGTTTTCCTCCATTTACGGTATCTTTGCCAATGCCAGAAGCACAATATCGATTACGTTTCTCATTTTCATGGTATACTCGTGAAGCATTTCCCTAGAACAAGCAACATCAACCATACATTACCTTGGATTATATAGTAAGTGTTGGGTTAACAGGTTTGGAACCTGACCCGTGCAAATGAGTAGGCATGTCGGATCGTGTCATAGATGAATTATTAGCATTAGTTGTGCCTCAAATTTCACTACAAGAAATTACGCCTTTAACGAAATGATTTCCCTTCGTTAAAGAGCTGAAAACCGTCGTTATTGTATGCTAACGACAGGAAAAAATCCCTTCGTCACCCGTCGTTGAAGCCCTCTTCGCTAAAGGGTCACGAAGGGATATACTACCCGTCATTATAGAGTCTTTAACGACGGAATATATTACCGTCGTTAATATCTACGACGGTAATTATCACCGTCGTTACCATTAGTGACGGGGTTATTTTTCCGTCGTTACCATCAGCGACGGGAATATTTTCCCGTCGTTACCATTAGTTACGGGGATATTTTCCCGTCGTTACTTTAAATGACGGGTTTTCATTCCCGTTGTTATTGTGTAATGATGGTTTTGTACGCCCGTTATTATTGTATAACAACGAGTGACAACCCCGTCGTTGAAGGCTAATTAATGACGGTTAGATACCGTCGTAAAAATCATCATGGTGGATAATTAGTAACCTATCAACGATGGTGCTTTCCCTTCGTTGATGAACAAAACGTGGTTTATAAAACCGTCATTATAGACTACAAATTTCTAATTTACATTAATGAAAATTTTTCCATTCATAGGCAACTATCATATTATTCTCAACATGAAACTAAGATTCATAACACAAATATATTAAAAATATCCAATAATGAATAAAAGAGAAATCAAAAACTCCATTCATTAATAACATCAATAAATAAAATCCCACCATCCTCAAATATTCAACACTAATAACAAGTGTTAATATCCCAATTGTTCTAAAGGAAAATACGTGAAACTATCTAAAACAAATTAAAATAGAAGTCTAGGAAAGACACATCGTTTCATCTCTAATCATCGTCAAAAGAAGACTCGAGCTACCCTCTCTCCTAATCTTGCATGGATAGCCTGAAAAATTAAAAAATCACATAATTAAGAAATATCAATTAAGCAATTATTATCTTATTAAGTAAAAATCTCATTTTCTCAAGTGCAAGTAGTCAATCATAAAAATATATAAGAGATTTTATAAAAAAATAATTACCTGGTCCTGCACATGTTCTCGAGTTTGAGGAGTCAATGAAGATGGCTACCTAAAAAAAGTTCCTACATAGCTTTCACTTGTGACTCTAAGTCAGACACCATTTGTTGTTGATGTTGTTGTTGCTCCTGCTCATATTTCATATCCTTCAAACAAAAAAAAAAATGTTCAGCCGAGAAAATAATTATGCCTCTTTCCTCTATAGATACAACAAATGACAGTCTCCTGCTTAATCTTCTATATTTAAAATCGACATCTTTAATGGTGAAACACAAAAGAAAACGGAAAGCATGACCCTTATTATGCAAGATAGATAGGAATAACATGCCATATGAGTAAAAACTATGGTAATGGAGAAAGGGTAAGCTATCTAAGATATCGTTGAAGAATGGAGATCTATATAAGCAATTTCATGTGGTTAAATAGTAAGTGTGAAATGAACTTGACATTAACTATGCTCAAAGGTTCTCATAACTTCTCGAGCATTAATTAAGGTTCCCATAATATTACATGCATTCATTTTTGCAGGCAAACATAATTCACTAAAGTACTTAGTAATACTTCTCTCTCCTATTGTTGTTGACATTACTTATTATAATCATGATCATTATTCTCTGAACAAAAGCCTGATTCCCATAGGAATAAAGTCATGAATTCTCCATAGAGGACTCATTAAATTTGAACTAGGCTAGCCTTGTACAGAGCTTGATGTGAAAGTAATTGCAAAGGGATTTTTTTAATTCACTGGACAACCTTTAACAGATCTAATTCATTGGACAGGTTAACATCTATTGCTGAGGAAACGTTTGTGATAAATGAAGAAGAGAGCTCAAAAGAATATCACATTATGTTGATTTCACTTTTGGGCTGCTTAGAAAAAATACACATCGTTGGGAGTGCTTAACAACTATGAATAGCATGTAAACTTTTTTTAACTAGTTCTGCCATGTTCCAAAACAAATAAAAAGGCTTCTCAGCTTGCAACCAGATGATGCATGAGTAGGACATGCTTAAAAGTTTTGACATTTGTATCTAGATAGTATAGTAGATAACAACGGATAATATAGACTATCAATTTTGTTCTTCTGTCATGAATTAAATCAAACTACCTGCATCTGCTTCTGAATGTAGATTACCTCAAGCTCAAAATCTATCAAAAAAATGATCCCAAAATATGTGGTTCAAAGTATTGTATTTTTTCAAAACATCACCTTTTATGCCTTACAACATTCATGAAAATTCAAGTTATTTATTATCACTATCTCCTGAAACCTCCATCACGTGATGTTCTTTCCTTATCTGAATTTTTGAATAATCGAGCAAAATAACTTTAGAAGGATCATCCTCATGGAAGCATGTCTAAGAAATTTTTGAATAATCGAGCAAAATAACTTTAGAAGGATCATCCTCATGGAAGCATGTCTAAGAACCTTGCTATAATGCATCAACAAACAAGTTAAAGAACAAGAGAATATACCCAACTCCTTTTGATCATCTTGAGTTCCAATCCATGATCAGCCGCACGTCTCTAACTTGGAAGCCATAAATTAATTACTTGTAAATCTAACATCATTAATGAAGTAATACTTATACAGTTTGCAACTTAAAAATACATTGCCATGCTTACTACACATAACACCACCCTAAGGACTGCACCCAATATGGTGAGCAATCAAACTTCCAATTCTTTTCACACTCACCAAATAAAAGAATGTTGAGCCACAAAAAAGTCATTATAATAGGCCTCATTGAAGGCACAGGAGCATTTACTGTAATAAGAAGCAAGTGTATCTCAATGTATGTACTGAAGATATTGAAATAGAGAATTGCCTACCAAAAGCTTTAATCCTAATAAGATAACAAGTTACGAAATATTTTAAATAATAAACTGGACAGGGGAGATAAGTATACTTGTACTACTATGTAAGCTCAGATACCTGTGGTTGCATGATACATGTAAATATCAGAACACTCTTATCAGATGGATGTGTAATGTCAATACAAGAAGCTAAACCTGACAAATTAAAAACAACCATCAACCTCATATTATTGTGTGATAAGAGGACCAAGTAACTCATTCCACTAACCTTTCCTGCTTTCGAGAAGAATTCATAAACATCCCTTTCTGTCGCTTTCAAAGGCATCTAAAATCACAAAAGAGACAAAAATTTTAGAAGTTGATTGTTTATGGATGAAATGAATACCCCTTTCCAATAATAAATGAAGTGAAAACATAAACTACAAACTATTACCTGATAAGCAAAAACAGTTCTCTGGTCCCTTTCAGGATCAGCTTCTGGTTCTGCAGCTTCTTTTTTCTCTTTGAATCTCCTACACAAAGATGTAGATAGTTTATTAATAAAATCAAAATATCCAATACTCAAAAACCACATATTAAAATAATATAGAGCATTCGTTCATAGCTAATAGGTCTAAAATAACATGGTCAGTTCATGTCAGGTAATCAGCAATTTTCTTATTATAAGATACATAGATGACAGAGAAAATATAGGCTAAAATATGTCTATATAAATTCGATATGAGGCACTTCAGACTACAGTTAGAGTGCGTGCAAATTTTAGTTTTTCTAGTCAGTGAACACTAAATTGGCAATGATATCGACAACAAATCCTTTATCCCATTTTTAAAAAAAATTACAGCTACATGTATCCCATTCTTTCCATTAAGAGTTATTGCTTCTACCAAATTAACAATTACACATCCTTCTTAATTGCTTTCCCACATATTCTAAGCCTACCTCCAGTTACCCTTCCTCCACTAATTATAATCTATCACTTCTTCTAATTACAGTGTTTAGTGATCTCATTTGAACATGATCAAACCATATGAACTAATTCTCTCATTTTATCTCAATAGGAGCAACTTTTAACTTTCTATGAATGCACTTAATTCTTGTCCCATCTTTTAGTGTACAACCATTGTCCATCGCAATATTCTCATTTCTGTCAAACTCAATTGTTGCACATATTTTAAATTATTTAACATTATGATCTATAAGTATTGTTGGTAGTTCTCTTATAGAAAATTCCCGTCAATTTCATTTTATATGATAGCTACAGGACCAACAATAGTTTATAGCAAGCAATGCAAGTTATAAAACATTCAATTACGCTACTCTACTACTCTGATTTATCCCTCTAAATTGAAATTATATGCATGCATCTAACAAAGAAATTTGAATGCCAAACTCTAGAATGAAAGTTTAACAAACAAAGAATGACAAAAATAGAGGGTGTATAAGTGCAAAGTATAATAAACTATAGGGTCTTGACTGCATTCAAACAGTATTTGCAGCATCCCCAAATTAAACTCCGTTATAAGCAGCACCCCCAAATTTCCTCAAAATTCCTCACTCGCCAAAATTCCAACCCATTAACTGATCCAAAACACGTCCATTCATCAGAATAAGTAAGCACATAGCCATAAGCAAACCAAACATCAAGCTTAACAACATAATGGAAATTATAAAATCACCGAAAATATACAAAAAGATTCAAACTTAAAGCATAAGAAAAGGAGAAAGGAGGAAACTGACCAATCCATGGCGCTCTCCGGCCTGAAAAGAAATCTTTTGCTGGTTGACAGCCTGCGTGTAGAGCTGCGAGAGGGAGTTCGCAGCGCTGCAAAAGGTCGAATACATGCTTCGATCGATCTCATCGAGCCTTGATGCCTCTAATTTCCTCTTCCTTCCCATTTGAATCTCGATCGAAATCCAAGGATCGATTCAATTCAAAAGTCGAAACCCTAGAACTTTACGAGAGAGAGAGAGAGAGAAGATTTTATTGCTGACATCGGGTAATCGCTGGAGCTTGCAGATGGATTTGAGAGAGGAGGCGGTGGGAGGCAGGGAGGGAGTGGGAGAAAGAGAGAAAGAAATAGGGTTAGGGTTAAACGGCTGAAGGGGTTTGTAAAATTGGGGCTTGTAATGGATTATTATTGCGGTTAGAGGATGATTAGGAGTTAAGGGGTTTGTAAAATTGGGGCTTCGGGTTTTAATGTGGGGTTTCGGGTTTTAATGTGGGATGTGTTAATAGCAATAGGTTAATTTTAGTCTAATTATGATTAGGAGTCCCATCAATGAAGGTAATGGATCCCTTCGTTTTTAAGGAGACCCAATAACGACGGTATTAGGATCAAATCAACGAAGGGATTAGAAATCCGTTATCCCATATCATATTATTTCTCTAATATTTGTAATTACTCGACGAAGGGATTAAAACCCGTCGTTATTGTATACACATTAATGACGGTCAACTGGTCCCTTCACTAATTTTGGTCGTTAAATACCAGATTTCTTGTAGTGTTTTCCCTTAGGAATTCACTTCTATTTGTGATTCCTTGTATCAAGGATCTTCTTGATTACTTGTTGATGAATGAGAATTCTGTTTGTGTAAGGATTCTATTTTTGATATCTAGTTCAATTAGGATTCTGTGATTCCTAGTCGAATGGGAACCCATGCATGTATCTACAGATACATCGTGACAGAGAGAAAAAAAAATGGTTGCTTGGAGATCTCTAGGATTTTAGAAAGAGTTTTGTAAAAAGGTGAGAATTATTTCAAAGGGCTTTTCGTGGAAAAGTGGTGATCCAAATTTTGGACTCTTCTTAGATTTATTTTCTGGAAGTATTATGTTTTTCTTCAAACGAATGTCTTGTATTTTCCTTTTTTTATCTGAAGTTTCTCTATTGATAGAAGTTGCAGCATTGTTGGTGGTACTTATTCATGTGCCTAGTGACATTTCTCATACCAAAAGGAGGCGTCTTTTCTGTGCTACCTCTAACACCCTACAATATGTCATGATACCATAACTTTTCAAATGTGGATGATATTTCCATTCAAGTGAATATGATAATAATACCTAAAAGATCAAATGTGAGGCATGCTTCCATTAAAAGGTGAAATGGAATTAATACCTGAAAGAGCTTGGGTTCCAGTCAACAGTCTAATTTCCTCTTGTCTTCAGATTGCACTAGCAGAGATAGTTGGTCATTCCAGTCGATGATTTGGTCTTCAGAGGCGACAAAGTCATTCCCATATCCTTCCAAATCGAACAGACCATGCTTTAAGTTGCTATACTTTTGTTTCTCTTTGACTGGAAGCTTAAAGAATTTTCTTGTTATGTCCTGCAACTCATCGAGAAAAGAGGGTGAGACTATGGGATAAATAACAACAAATCAAATACCAAGATGTAACAAACTAAAATAATCAATTAATTAATTGTTAAAAGTTAGTTTTCTCACGTTCTCATGAACCTGAGGAATTATTTAAGGCTAAAAGATCTCTTTCTTCTTCATAACAGGATTTTTTTTCCTTATAAAAAGACCCTGTGAGGAGATAAAATATATACAGAAACTAGAAACTCCTCATTTCTTTTTTTTTTATTCCTCCATTAAATATTTGGTATAGTTTTTTGGCTGCTTACGCAAGGGTCTTCATCCCCAAAGTGGTCATGCAAACTAGGGTTCCGGTAGAGAACGGATCGTACCGCTAAGGAGTATTTTGCCTTGGCTGATCACACGAGATCGATAGATATCTCTTTAGGGTAGTGGTTCGTCACACTTTCCCAGAGGCCTATAAAATTGTTCATTTAATTTTCTCTAATAAATATCAATAATTATGATTTCTAGTCCAACAATCTAAAGAGATATTCTGATCATTCGAAATTACTATTCATTCATAAATTTATTTTATTCAAATTCAATGTTCATTACAAAATACTATTTATTCGTGCCAACTTTTATTAGCAGGAATCACTGTTCACTCATACGATTACTTTTTATTCGAATTACTGCTCATTAGCATAAATTGCTCTATCGAATTTACTTTTCACTCATATAATTTATTGTTTGTTCGGCTTTATTATTTATTCTCTGTAATTACTGTTCATTAGCATAAATTGCTTCTATCCGAATTTACTATTAATTTGGAATTACTGTTCATCCGTGTAAGTTTTACTTTCATATCGAATTACTGTTCATTCGCGGTTACTGTTTATTCGTAAAAAATTGTTTGCTCGAAATTACTGTTCACCCGAATAAGTTAGTGTTTATTCGTAAAAAAATTGTTTACTCAAATTTACTCTTTTATTCGCAAAGGTACTGTTCATCCATATAATTACTATTCATTCAATTTTGCTATTCGGTCGTGTAATTTAGTGTTCATTTGTGAAAGTCACTGTTTGCTTAACAAACTTTAGATGCATAATATTTGTTTATTGCTTTTATTAACATCTTTAAATAAAAATGATGAGGATTGTAAAGTTTGTTAGCATCTTTAGAATTGGCATTAACTTTATTATCATTCTGTACAGATTATTTATTTTCCATTAGACCTTAATTTTTGATCTTATAAAAATATCCCCTAAGGATGAAATTTTAAGTGCTAAACCAAAAATAAAAATAAAGGGTTATATTTTAAAGATGGAAAAACCAATTGAGATTCTGGTTAACTACTCTAGATCTATACTTACCTATAGAAGGATCTACATCTCAGGGACAACTGTATCTAGTTCCCCTATTACACCTTCACCTGCATCTAAATCAGCAACTCCCTGTTCTAAACCAATAACATCTGAAGATATTGACTAGCATTGCTCCTATAGGATCTTGAGTGCTCTTGATGATTAAATTTACGATAAATATTGTAAAATAAAGGGCGCCAAGGCACATGGGATGCTCTAGAATCTAAATATGTTCTTGATGCTGCAGGAATTGAAAGGTTTAGCTCCTCAAATTTTAATTGATTTGTGATGGTAGATAACAAGCCTATAAATGAACGACTTCATGAGTTTTAGAACTTCATTAGATATATTCAAGCTAAGGGTGTAATATTTTCTGAAGATCATAAAGTGGCTTGTCTTATTGATAAACTCTCTTCTATTTGGTCTAATTTTGGTTGAGAGCTTAGACACAAACAAGGAGACCTTACCTTAATCCAAACTAATCAATCAATAAGAATTAAGGATGAACATAGAAACAGAAATAAACCAAAATTAAGAATAAAGCCAAAATAAATCTAACTGGAAATAAGCCTAAGAAAATTTAATATCACTTCAAGCCAAATCATAATAAAAATTTCAATAAGCATAGCAAGAATAATTATAGGAACCAAAATAATAATAATAGAAACCCAAATCGGCAAGGTAAAAATCCTAGGGTTTCCAATGGAAAGAATTTCTACCTCATTTGTGGTCAAATCATGCTTTTACCGTAAGACTGGACCTAAAAGGCCATATAAAAAGAATGGTGAACTAAAGCCACAAACCAATATGATTGAGACTGAAACTTCTGATCCCTCCTTTAGGTCTACTTCTACACCTCCTATATGTAATTTTACCTCTTATTTTGATTGGTGGTTAGACTTTGGAGCAAATGTACATGTGTGTTATGATTGCTCTTGGTTTACTAACTTTCAGGAACCAAGTGGAGGAGGTATGACTTTAGAAGATGATATATCTGCACAAATAAAAGGGAAAGGACAAGTTGACCTTAAGATGACATCTGGAAGATCCTTACCCTTCATGATGTTTTATTCATGCCAACCATTAGGAGAAATATTGTTAGTGGATCTTTGCTGGCTAGGTTAGGCTTTAAAATTTTCTTAGAAATAGATAAAGTTATAATCAAATAAAGTTGAATCGATCCATTCCATCTAATCCAGAACTTTGGCATCATTTATTAGCTATGGAGGAAGTCTATTGCTCCCCAAGGGTGTTCATATTAAACCTACTCATACGAGATATTTTTTCACAAGCCCATAAGCATTAGATCTTTTGGCTAGTAACAACGCAAAACACCGATGTCATGTTCATAAGTAACTCAAGTGCAACTACAAAACCTTGGCATTTTCTCAAAACCCAAGGCTAGAGAATCATTGTGTATGCCCCTATCATGAAGGCGAGTCGGCCAACAATCTAAGATTCGAAATCAAGTCATCTCCATTTCAAACGCTCAAAGTATAATTCAACATAAAGAACGCAAGATACACATCTCTGATTGGCAAAACAATTCTTCTAATTCATGTTCTCCAAATGATTACAATACACAAAAAGAAGAAAAGAAACAACAAATGACAAAAATAAAGATACAAGAACTAAGAAGCAAGATTTGGGTCGACACCAAGATCAAAGGACGAGAGCGAAGAAGCATTGACAGTAGAGGGCACTTGAGTCGGCTGAACTTCAGACTCAGTGCCTCCACTTTTCTTCTTTTTTGGCAAGATCACCCAACTATCTTGAGTGCTTGACCAAGCCCTCACCTGCCTTCCAGACCTCTTTGGCAATGCCCTAGTCGGCCTCATTGTCCTCCTCCTCATCCTTGGCTCCACTTCCGCCACATAGCTCAAGTCGCCCTCCCTATTTATCTATCTCTAAGAGCGCCTCCAGTCAGTTAGAAACGCTTGGAGGGTTGTAAAAATAGTTAGGATCGCTCCTCATATTGGTTGGAAGTTGTGCCTCGAGATAATCGTATCCCGCCTTGTAAGCCAGCGCCACCTCCACTTCCCAATAACATTGTGGCGATAATCCTCAACGATCTCAAACTGATGAGCTTCAGAATCCAGATGAGTAAGGTGGTCTTGAAAAGCTCAAACTGTTGTGAGGGATGACTCACGGTGTGGCTTAGCCAACAACGTGGCTTGAGCACTTTCCTCTTGAAGCGCCTTATGGGCTGCCCTCTCCTCCCCCAGCTCAGCTTTCAAGCGTTAGGCGGCATAATGATCTGACTTAACTTTTTCAAAGCTCGATCCCTCTCTCACCTCCCAAGTGTGACCTCCTCAAATAAATATCTTATTCTCTTATTTTGTTTATCGATCTCGCACTTGTGCTTGTTGATCTCGGCCCACTTCTGGCTGTCTAAGGACTTCAAGTCGTCAATCATATTCTCCCGCACTTCCATCACTGGATGCTAGTTGCCCAGTTCATCTTCATTAGATGACAACTATAGGCACT